GAATTGGAAAATTGGAATTGGAAAATTGGAATTGGAAAATTGGAAAATTGGAATTGGGAAAGTGGGAGACTGGGAAATTGGGAAATGGAATTGTGACGTGGAATTGGGCAATAGAATTGGGAGATGCTGAAGACTTCAGCTTTAAAATGTCAAAATTCATCGTTTAGAATTAATGTTTAGAATTAGTTGTGTACCCTATGTATAGTGAATGAGTTTTAATTTTGTTTTGAGAAACGTTGTCTCTGGCTTGATAGGGAAACGTTTGCAAAGATTTTTAAGGTAGATGTGAACCTTTGTCATCTTAACTGAGTTTGTAAAAGAGGGGGTAATTTCAGGACGAATGATTTGCTTCGTTTTATCTCAAATTTGTGCCAGAATCGAGCTGAAAAGTCTGTGGCTAAACTTAAGTTTTCGTCATAATTAAGATGCATGTTGAGTAATCCTAATGTATGTTTTGACGTCTAACCGCTGACTAACAAACCCTGCTTGTCACTTACCGACTAACTTTCTGTCCGGGAGGGACTGTCATCAGAAAAAAAAATCGTCCCTTTCGCCTCACTGCTTGCGTTTCCAATCTACCAGATCAGTTCCGAAACTTTCATCATCCCAGGCTTTTATTTTGATACACTCCATAGAAAATTTCGTAAAATTCTTTACCACACTGATTTGTGTTCTCAGCGCATGTTCGCCTTCTCTCTCGATTCCATATCAAGCCAGGGATGGCGTGAAATTCCGTCCCTATTCCACCCCCTCAGTCCACGTTTGTCACATTTCACTGTGACACTGGCCCCTAAAGTCCTTGCTGTCACGTGACGCTTCTAAACATTAAATAGTAATCCCAATTTCACGTCATTTATTTTTGTTTGGTTTTGTGTTATCGACTGTTTTGTTCCATCACGTTTGTTTGTCAGTTTCTATTGTTTATTGTATATGACAGTCCTTCACACAGTAACATGACATTCACTACTCAACTCCGCTCTTACTTCTGCAGTGATTACTCATTTTCAATCAAAAACCTGTGCGGTTTTCAGTCACAGCTTTTTTTTCTGCAGTGCACGTTATACATATTTGGAGGTGAATTCTTCTTCAAACTCCTTCTCTTCTTCTTTTCGTTCAGCTTCTTCCTTGTTATCCCCTCCTCATTCATTTCATCCGCTTTTCGTTATGCTCGCTTTTTGTCTTCTCTTTTTCTTCTTCCTCCGCCTTTTCTTCTTTTGCACCAATTCTTTCTCGTTCTCATATTTTCTATCTCCTTCAGGCGCTCATTTTTCCACTTCTTTTAATTTCTTTGTCATGAAGATACATTTACCATTGCTTTCCCTCTTTCCCTCCTCTAATCTGCTCTTCTCTTTACGTTTCTTTTCATTGTGAACACTTCTGTCTCGTTTATATTCTCTCTCTTTCCTTTCCTTACCCTCTCTATGCATATTTTCTTTTATTTTCGTAAGTTTCTTTTCATCTCTTGATTGATAAATCTTGCTTACCTCTTTTTCCTTTGCCTTCGCCGTCTTCATTTTTCCTCGTCCTACTTGAAAAAGTGTGATCCTACATGTAACTCTGTAAATCTTACAACAGCGCGGCTTCAACTCACGTCACTGAAATTTTCATCACGAACGTCGATCACAAGCGGTTTTTTTCGTATAAATATGTTACCTTCAGGCGCAGAGGAATCACATCTGAATACACGACAGAGAACGCAAACAAACTTTTTTTCACAAAATCCAAGCTATAAATACTATTTAATTGAAGATCCATTTAAGAGTAGGAGGTTTTTTCAACCTTTATTTCGCCCTATCGAAAATGCACGCTCTTGAATTGTTCAGAAACTGAATATACCATACACGGTAACAGAAAATCGTGCAGCTGCTGCATATTACGTTGCAGGACTATAAAATTTGTCAAATGCAAGTTGTATGGCACACTTTAGATTTAATTAATTCAACCTAAAAATTTTAGAGAAAGAGTGTCAAACCTTCAATAAAACGTACAGTGTATGCTCACTCCTGCAAAATCGCCATTAGAACTTGAGTTTTTGATACGAAGATAGACGTAACGAGTGTGTGTGGCTATGGCTAGATTCGCAAGCTCGAAATTCATTACAAATCTTATGAAGCGCCTTCTGGTCTTCGTTAATTCATTTCTTTCAGTTTCGAGTTAACAATCGGTTTCGTAATCTTGTTTTCCAATATTCTTTAAATTCTGCGTGTAATTTCTTAGTCTATGAAATATCTTTTTGTAATCAGATATAATTACTAAGAATTGTTCGCTGTGAATTTATTGTTTTGTCTAGAACTTGCAAAAGCCGCAAAATAAATTTTCCAAACGAACGGTTCTCTTTAGAAATAAATAGAAGATCAAAAATTGTGTCCTGAATTTCGGTGAATTTCGATACTTTAAGATATAAATAGTACATTTTACTAGTTTATTGTTTCAAACGTTTATTTATTTTTTCTTTTTTCTTTCGTTTTCGTAAAGTTTTCTCACACCTTTTCACTTCTTTTCAAATACTCTACAATGTGTTGCATTAAAGCAATCAAATTAGACGTTATAGTGGTTGTGCTATTCTATCAGTGAATCTTTTGTTACCAAAATAGAACATTTCATATTTCCATTAGTAGAAGTGTAAGAATCAATTACTGCATCTCGCAAAAGTTTAAGAGACAAATTCTTAAAGCACACGATCCAATTTAGATAGGGGAATAGACTCGAGGTTTTAGAGGTATGCATCGAGAAAAAATTACAATTTAAATGAAACAGATTGCCCAGTTGAGCCAAAATTGATGGGCTGTCGCCGTGCGGATAATTTACGAGTAGCATATTTTGGTCACGAACAACCCTTATCTCTCCGAAATGTTCTTAAATTCTGTTATTTAGATCTTGGAGATTTCCTCGCTAAATGGATGCTTTCAAAGTTGAATTTTAAACAACAAAACCCTAAGGGCTCGGTAAAAAATAAATTACTAGTTTTAGGAAATATATTTCAGTTTCTACTTGATGTCGGGCCCTAGGAAATGAGCTAAAAAAATTAGCCGCTGTCAATACTCGAAAAGAAAAGAAATTTTAATCGGAATTTTAAACCATGACGGCTAAGAAAACTCATGCGATGAGGGTATCCTTCGACAAATTTATTTTAAAATGACAAAAAATTGAAATGTCAGTTCAAAATGTTTACAAATGAGACGAGTAAATTTATTCCTAAATCCCTAATGTTGTTTCGTGCACCATGTATGAAGAAAAGAAAGACGAAATTGCTTTCCTGTAATTTTCAATGAAATTTGTCGACAATTTGCCTTCTTATGTTCTGATAATGTGATAATAACTCATGGCGAATTTAAATAAACTAATATTATGAAAATAGATTTTAATTACATCGGGAGTTCCACGAAAAGATCTAAATGCATTTTTAAAAAGGATTTAAACGAAGTAGAAATTTGTCAAAATAGGGTCATTCTGCTATCTCCCAGAGAGAATCTTTCAACTTATTGTTTTGTTTGCGAGTTCTTAAAGGAATTTTTACCGAATGATAGCAACAAATTCGTTTTCTAAGTTGTGAAAGAGTATCCGCCCTCGCGTTTGGCATAAAGAAAAACTGAATATTTAATAAAACTAGTAAATCATTTTTTTTCGAATTTCCGCATGTATATTTGTCTTGTTTTTCCGGTCCGTGTGGTTTCTTGTTTGGTTATAAAACTCCATTATCTCTGCAGCAATCACAATTAAGAGATTTTATTGGCAGGGAGAAAAACGCTGAAGGCAACTAAAATCACAAGATGAAAATTACTTCGATGTGAAATGCAGTCGTAATCAAGGGAGCTGTTTCGATGTCGCGAAGCATGTTATTGGTCAAAATGAAGTCGCCACCTGTTCTAAGAATTAGTCGTGTCAATCAGTATTGTTTACTTTCCAGTGTGTTTGAATAAGAGGAGACGGTTAATAACTCGATATTGTGTTGGCAGTGTTTTTCTGTGCTAAAGTTCAGCTATTGTATCATTTTTCGCGGCGGGTGAATTGCACCGGTTTTCAATGAAGAGCTAGAGTGTGTACTTTCACGCAAATTTGGTGTCAACGAAAAGTTAAGAATGTTGAAGTAAGCAGCAAGATACTTGGATATGTTGTCCTTGAAAACTGTACTAAGTAAGAAGTCAGTTTGCGCGTGGGAAATCGTCCGAAGCTGTTGTTTGTGCGGATTTATCTTCCTTGTTCTGTTGCCGATTTCTGCTTGCGAACCTTCCAGCCTTACTTACGCGAATATTACTGATACCTCCATTCTTTTGCCACTGCAATCTGTGCTTTTTACTTCAAAGCCAACTCTCTCTGGCGTAGTACCTCGACAAAGTGTTCGTTCGTCTCAAGAGCTATCAGGCTTGGAAACTGTTATTAATTCTGTTAACGATGGATATATTTCTCAATTTGGTGTCCTCACAGGAGGCTCCGAAAAACCAACACGCTCAACGCAAGTGTCGTCGTCCGCGAGTTTTAAAACGAATGTTCGACTCTCAGAAGCAACACCACGCAGTCAAATTGTGGGAGAAACACTTCAAAGTGAAAACCGCAGCGCTCAGAGTACAAGAGAAGGAGGTGAAATTTCTATTGAGTCAAAAGCATCGTATACGAAGCATAGATCAAAAATGGCATCCATTTTGAGCTCGAAACCCGTAGAAGCAAGCGACATGAGAGACAGCAGCCGCTCACGATCAGGATATGAAATGATCAGCACATTTGATAAGAGAGTTATCACTAGCACAAAAACATCATCTTCGTTCAGTGATTTTACACCTAAAGGTACTACAGTCATGTCTATCACACCAACGTTTTTATTTCAGAGTTCTTTTAAGCAGCGACGTAATTTGTCAGAAATCGCGGGGTTTTCGTCAACGATATTGCGCCCTCATGAAAAATTCACTGCCTTGATTTCCGCATTGACCTCCAATTTGCATGTTACAGATAGCTTGCTTGGCAAAAGTGATTTATCACCGGGAAAAAATCGCAGTAAATCAACATTTTTGTCGTATTATTCTTCAGGTGATAAGACCCGAACACATAGCATGTCGACGGATCTAAAGCTTCACAAAACTTCTCAACATTCGTCAGCATCCAGTTCACATACCGCGGTCATCAAAGAGTCTTTATCAATCACAAGTGTCACTACGTTTCAAGATTCAAGTACCCCCATTCCGAAAGTTTCATCATCGATAACTCTTATTAAAAGTACCGATGAATTGTACGCTAAACTCACTTCGACATCAAGACATGTCAAACACACGAACACACCATCTCTGACAGAAATGCCTGTGAATTCCATCAAAACTACATCAATAATCTCGCTTCCCATAGCAACAACTCATTTTTCATTTACCTCAGCTCAGACGTCGCTTTTGTCTACGGTCGCTGTGCAAGAGAAAGCTCCATTAACTTGTAACATAAATAATGTCACTTGCGTTTGTTTTAATTGCGGTGAAGTGCGTCAAAAGGAAGGAATCTGTTGTATGGATCTTGTCGACAATAGGAAAACTCAACAAGGAGTTCACATTAATATGATTAACATTACAGTTGAGATCTTTTATCCTAAAGTACATGTCGTTTCGAAGATTATCGAAGGAGTGATTTGGGAATCGTGCATGACGAACTCATCCCTTTGCCTAGGTGAAGAAAAGTTCTTTGAGGCCAAACGTGTTCGTAAGAAGCGTTTGGCACAAAATTTTTTCTTCAATGACGACTCTCTGTCGGATATTCTAAGGATAAAACGAGATTCAGAATCGGGTCATCATAGCTCACAAATTCATGCATCATCAGTTAATAACGGAGCACTTCGTCCTGATATTAAACCCTCTAAAATCAATATCACCCGGGTAGATGTGATAATATACAGTATTTACTCCGTGGCCGGGAATCCAAGTGCAGTTGGAACGGCCTTTTACGTCACGGTGACGTCACTTAACAATGGAACCAATCACACGCAAGTTCTTGATGGCAAAGGTTTACTACAAATTCTCAGGAACAAGAGAAATGTTCTTGAGAATAAATTAAATATAACTATTGACTCATTCTCAGCTACCATGTCATCTAAAAGCTTGACGCCCGCTTCGACATTGGTTCTTAACCCCTCTGCCCCAAGCAGGAACCTACAGACACCCTTACCCTTCCCTGAAGGTAAGGAAGTTTTCTTTGGTATAACGTGTTGACTTCGGGAAACGGGAACAGGGTACTGGGTGCAGGTAGTTAGAGGTACCAGGAATGAATGAGAGAGTGGAGACAGAAGCTTGTGGTGTAGGCCTAAGGACACTTCAATTCCAATAAAACTATTTATAGAAAGTCTTTCGAATAGAAGTCTGTTCCGAAGCGTGTATATGAGGTTTGATCTCGATCTGATGTTCATCTGATGAGTGAAAGGTATAAAATGTCGGAGAGCGAAGATATAGCAAACGTTGATGAAAGAAGGTACAAAGTAGTTCTTGAGCCAGAATTCTAAGTGTGGTGCAGAGAAACAGACTTTCCTGTCCGTCAAGAAATTAAAACAACTATATTGGAATGGGCTTCTTCTGGCCAACCCTCTGACTGTTCTTCTCTGTTTCCTTTTTATCTCCTATGTCC